CCGTGTCACAGTCTATGGTGTGATTTTCGATGAAGAAGCGTTACATTTGTTATAGAAATCGACTGCATTAATTATTTCTCGTTTATGAGTAGGGTGTCTAGACTATCAGTAAATCAGTTATCACATATCATTTATCAGTTATCACATATCATTTATCAGTTATCACATATCATTTATCAGTTATCCCTTATCACATTCTATGGTGTGATTATCGATGACGAAGCGTTATATTTGTTATAACAATCGACTGCATTACTTATTTCTCGTTTATGAGTAGGGTGTCTAGACTACCAGTAAATCAGTTATATGAAATGTTGTCTCAGCTCTACTTATCTGAGTTTATGAAAACTCAACTACCAGTGCTTCATTAACTTAAATGAACTAGCGTGAATACATCTCATATAAGTTATTTACTGCTAGTCTCAAAACCATACTTACAAAATTTGTCTTACCTTCTTTTTGCAACTTGGTCATATTGGTAGGAAGACCAAGTTACCAAAACAAGATAACACCATTTTTATACAACGAAAGGAGACTTCGACCATACAAAAGGCCACACCACCTTGGTCGTCCTAACTTCGAGCATACTTATATACATGTGAAGTTATTCATAAAGCCCTATCATGAACATTCGATTGGAGATGTTAATGGTAGAGTTGTCCTCAGACCTATTGAGCCTCTACGCATTTCCTGAAAATTGTTAATTCTTCTTTGAAATAGTTCACATGCAAAATGTAGTTGTGTAATGTTAAATCTGTTGGAGTTTTGCATTTATTTAGCATTTCAACAGCTGATTTGAAGATTTGTACACTTCCAGGTTTTATTAAAAATGCGGAGGAAAGTGTGGTTTTAAGAAATCTATTAATTCATAATTGTTTATATTACTTCCATTTCGAGTAAAAGTGTTTCGTGAAGAGACTAGAAGGTCGATCAGAGCAGAAGACGACGGTGAATTCCTCTTGACCAGCTGCCTATTGGCTTCACTGGAACATTCTTGTTGACGATGTTTCCGAGGCAATCCGCTTCGATTCGTTAAGAGTGTTCTTGACAGGTTATTTCGAATATGGTTGTAAAGATGATGATGATGATGATGATGATGATGATGATTATGATGATGATGATGATGATGATGATGATGATGATGA